GTGTTTGTTCACCCCTATCCACAGCTTCGTTCTTCCGCAGACACGCATATTCTTTCTGTTCCCAAGACACGCACTAAAACATACGGTGAGCGATGTTTCTCTTTCTCTATCCCCCAAAAAATGGAATTCTCTCCCATTGCACATTCGAAATATACCGACCATCCAGGCCTTCAAAACTGCACTCAAGACACAGCTTTTCAAACTCTTCTATACCGACTCATTCTCACACACCGCTGACTGATAAACAACGCTCGATTTTGCTGGGTGGCGTCCATCGCTTGACATGGGGTAAATAGTACTTCGGTGGGTGAGGTCGATCTTTTTACAAAGCTGTTTTCAAATGAATATTTTTTACGTAACTGTTTTTAATGTAAGTTTATATTATATATGGTCAGGCGAAATCTACTAGGGCCACTTTAAATATCATATATTATGCTAATTGTGAATTTGGCTGTGGGTGCGCAGATGGCCGATGACACTGATTCTGGCACGGCATATTCTTGTGCAATAAGTGCAGAGGATTGGTGGAACATCTGCAGGTGCAGAGTTAACCCTGGCTTTTATTTCATATCTTGTGCCCTGTTCTGTTGACTTCATATTGTATGGAGCTTTGCAACAGAGGTATGCCACGATGCTCTGTCCTTTGCCGATTCTTCCTATTTTGAACGCTTTCAGTGAGACCCAAAAGGAGATTTAGAAGCGTTTCTTCTGCCCCCCCCCCCCCAACAATCCGCCTTCCATTCGTCTGACATTCGCACAACATGCCCCGCCCCGCAAAACTGGAACTACTTTAACGTGGTAAAAATGCTGGGGAGACGTGCCTGTGCGAGTACCTCAGTGTCTGGGACCCTGTCCTGCCTGTGCGAGTACCTCACTGTCTGGGACCCTGTCCTGCCTGTGCGAGTACCTCACTGTCTGGGACCCTGTCCTGCCTGTGAGAGTACCTCACTGTCTGGGACCCTGTCCTTCCATTATTGTTGTTTAGAGTTTTCCTGAGACTTGTCACATGAAAGTGGTTCAACATGTTTGCATGGCATTGATAGACCGTTCATGTTTCACTTGCATAGACAAGCACAGAGAGCACAGCCGCCTTGTATGCCGTCGTTTTAGTTTGAGTGCTTATAACTCGCCTGCTCAATACATTTTTCAGACCATCTGGCATGAGTTGCACTGCTCTAGCACTACGAGGGTTGACCTCGTCGTCGATGGTAGCATTTTTGGGACAGAGTGATGCAAAGGTATAAGTAGCCATTTACCACTTTAAGCCTTTCGCGATCCACTTGGACGTTGGGCTCAACATAAGAACTTGGAAAAGCTGGTTGGTAATGGAGGTCGATCTTTTTATGTTAATAGTGAGACCGAAATGTGTGCTGGAATTGGAGAAATTAGTAACACTGCGTTGAATATCTGCACTGCTTCTGTTCCAGTGTTTAGAACACAATCGTCGGCATACAGGAAGTCACCTGACGATGTCTTTCAGGACCTTTGATTTGGCATGTAGCTTTTTTGGTGTTGAATAGCCCACCATCAGTTCGGTATCCGAGATCGGCTCCTTCTCTGAAGGCATCAGTCAGCATGGCTGAAATCCTTTGGCTGAAAAGTATTGGTGGCCAGCACATGACCTTGTTTCACTAACCCTATTTTGAAAGAGACCAAGCTGACAGGCTTGGAATTTTCCTCACTCGTAAACACTAGCGGCAAATTTTAATAGGGATTATTTGATAATGTATCCGATTGCTAAGATTTACACAATTATGGTTGCGCATTAACCGCCAACTGACTTTTTAAAACTTTTCTCCAAACCACCCTCTTGCCATGTTTGTCTCACAAAATGCTGCTAAATAAAAACTTTTAGTCCGATTTTAAAACGGTTCTAACCATCATAGTGTGTTTCTTGAAGTAGTTGAAAATGATACACGAATCTCCCCGCCTGAGGCCCTGATTAATTGGGAACTCCCTCAAGTACTCTCCCTGTATTTTGATTCTACTTTTGGAGTTCTTCTTCTTCTTCTTATATATATTAAGGGCCCACGATTAATTTATTGATCATTTTGGCTCCTATGAATGTAGAGGGGATTTGCAATGTTTCTGTGCCTGGCGTTGATGGGGACATTTCACTGAGTTAGCCATCGTCATTTGTTTAGACTGGTTAAGTTTGTTAGGGACTCCACATTCGTGTAGAGCAGTGGTTCTCAAACTTTCTAATCCCACGACCTTTAATACATTTCCTCACGTTGTGGCGACCCCCAACTACAAAATTATTTTCGTTGATACTTTATAACTGTGGAGTATGTGTGTTTTCAGATGGTTTTAGGCAACCCCTGTTAAAGGGTCGTGCGACCCCCAAAGGGGTCGCGACCCACAGGTTGAGAACCGCTGGTATAGAGCATCGTATAGGTATTTCCGTCTACTCTATAATAAGCTGTCTTTTTAGTCTACATATAGATGGTATATGTTCATGTTGTATTTGTACCATTTCTCCAGGAGACATCTAATAGTAAAACTATGAAAGTCTGAAATGCCCCTTCACACAATGTCCGAAAGAAACACTGAATTTAAATATACACCAAAATGCATTATTGCATTTAATTTAATTTTTTTTTTTTAAATTAAGGGGAACCTTGTCCCCGCTTTTGTTGAAGAGCCTACGGATTCTTAAATTTCGTTTACCTCCTTCCATGAAGTTGAACAATGTGACTTGTTGAATCTAATCTTGTGTCAAATGATTATCTTGGGCACACTACAACCAGAATTAATTTAGTTTATTTATGGCACCGGGCGCCATAATGCCTCCCCCGAGGCTTGAAAAATTATTTCTTCTGATCAAATAGTCTTATCAAAACATTCAAATCATGCATACTCCAAAATGCACCTCTTGATTTTTAAATAATCACACAATTTCTAGTGAGGGAAAAGCCATCTTTTGCATTTGCCGGCCCAACAATTTAGAACGCCCTTCCAGTCGCTCTCAGAAACAGGCAGATTCGCACTTTGAGCCACTTTGTACAAGAGGTGTGATGGATGGTGTCGTAACTGTAAGTTACATTTTTGAGTAGAAACATTTGCAAGTTACCCATGCTAATACACTTCTGAGACAGCTGCACTGGCTGCCAGTCCACGCTCGCATAGAGTACAAAATTGCAACTTTGTGCTACAGCTGCTTACATGACCTGGCGCCGTCTTACCTCAAAGCACTCATTACGCCTTATGTACCCACTAGACAGCTCCGCTCATCCGATAGTGGCAAAATATCGATACCGTATGTTCGCCTTGAGACTTACGGAAAGCGCACTTTTGCATTTGCTGGCCCAACAATTTGGAACGCCCTTCCAGTCACTCTCAGAAACAGCCAGACACTGGAGTCCTTTAAAACCAATTTAAAAACACATCTATTTCGCAAACACCTTCTGGGGTGATGCTATCTACCATCTTTTTTTTCAGTTTTTATATATTGGCTTGTGTTGCTATGGTTGAAATGGGATGAAAGACTTTGACTGGGTATACTCGTATGTGGTTTTATATTGTTGCGTCTGTTTTTTAAATGTGGTAAATTTTAGATTGTTTTTATTTGTCTTTTTAATAGGGTTGACTTTGTACCGCGCTTCGAGCTTTTGGGAATGAAGCGTGTTTTTCAAATAAACTTTATTTTTATTATTATTACTTCCCGATAAAAATGGCAGTGTTGCTTGCCCTGACAACCAATTTTGGTGCCGAGTGGCATGTCTATTGTTAGTGACACCTTGGGGGAAGGGTAACTTTTTTTTCCACGCTACCTTTCACGATATTAATTCAAGAGTTGTCCAAATACGCCACCATTCAATATAAAGAGAAAATGACAATTGGAGGGGCCAACAATTTGCCCCTCCCCCTTTTCTACATCTTTGGTTTGAGTGTTTAGTGCCTGGGAACAAGATTCATTTTTACCACCCCCCCCCTCCTTTAATCTCTGAAACCCATTATTTTCATCCATTAATACAGTAAAATCCCATTAGGTGCCCCTGCTAGTCTGGCGCCCAGGGACATATGCTCCTATCCCCACCTTAGCTCCACCTCTTTCCACTGACACTCCCCCCCCCCCCCCCCTCCCCCCCACCATCCGAAAATCTGAAATGCTCCCCCTACCCGTGAGAAATTGTCTGAAAGAAACACTGTACGGTACGCCAATCCATTCAGATACTAAATCTAATGGAAGCTGGGGCGTCATTTGGATAGGCCAGAAGTGTGTGTGTGTGTGTGTGCGGGGAGATGTATGATGGGCAAACTCCAACCCCCCCTCCCCAACCTTTTGAATTTGCAGCTTCTATCTAAAATGTTATGTGGCTATGCACTGTGGAGCCTTCAGAAATAAACAACTCAACAAGCCGCCAAAGTTTTGGTTTCCAACTCCCCACCCACCTTTTCTGAAAAAACCCTGAAATGACGTTCCTGAATTAAAGGTCCGTGTATTCTTTGAAAACTAATTTTTTAAAATCAAATTTAATATTATTATTATTATTCTTAGTATTAATTTAATATACTAAATATTGCTTGTAAAACGGAACTGAGTATTAGGTTGCACTCTTCAGAAAAACTGACATATTGACATTGTGGGTCAGAGTTCAACCATTGATTCGCACTTTGAGCCACTTTGTACAAGAGGTGTGATGGATGGTGTCGTAACTGTAAGTTACATTTATGAGTACAAACATTTGCAAGTTGTCCAACATTTTCATAGCCAATATATTGTATTTATTTATCAGTTTTTTTCCACCGTTTATAAACATTAAAAAATTGATAAGACGATTAACCGAATTTATAAACAAGTTCACACACTCCTACTATTACTTGAAATGTACAAGCCTAACTCGTTAAGTTCGACTCCACCACACCACGTCCATGACGATGCACTTTTTTAAAATAGGGTTATAAGTTATAGTGAATCTGCCTACCAAATCAATCAGTAAACAGAAACATTACCACCAATTTATTGTTTAGGCTACTAACAATTTGCTAACCTAGCCTAATAATTATACATTTTAAATTCATGATTCTGATTAGGCCATGGTCATAGAATTTATATTTATATGCCTAATTCTAATTTTTTAATTTTATTCACTTCATATCAAAATGGTCATAATTAATTTAATTATGTCATAATCTAGCAGATTCACTTTAGCTGCCCTTAATATATAATTATGTATATATATATATATATATATACAAGTAAGGTAAATTTAAATTTTTTATATAACAAAAAAGATGCCGGGATGAGAAGTAAATGTATTGGGATCCCATTTTCTGTTCCGATGCTTTACTACTTTACTTTTACTAAGAAAAATTTAGCTTAGGCAAAATAAACGATTATAGGATTATAATAACAGTTGTTTATAATTATAATTATAACTGATAATAATGATAAGTAGGCCTAATTTTAGTAATATTCTCTGAAATAATTAATTAATAAGAGAAAAACTATTATTATTATTGATATTACTATTACTATTACTATTGTCAATTGTAAAACTATTAAATATTGATTCAGTAATGAAAAGAAAAATGATAAACTGTGTACCGGTACCATACACAATTTTTAACGTAATAAATAAAACTTAAAACCAACCCTTGGTTACTACATAAACTTTTCAAGTTTGGTTATAATCTTTTCTTAAAATGATTCATTTTAAACGTCTTATAATTATTTAGATTTTAAGGATTTAACATTAACGAATCACAGTGATAGCAGCCATTTCCGGCTTCTCTATCAAAATAAAAAAAATAATGATAATTTCATACCCCCCACTTCTTCGCGGGTTGCATAACTTTTTATAGAGAGCTCAACGATAACTCAAAAAATGAAAAAACTCTTACAATGAATGTAGATTAGGGAGCACTAAACCTTATTTTGGTGGCTTTACTAGTGAAAAAGTAATTATGCGATTAATATACTAACCGAGTCATTATAATAATACTGTCCTTGATGCACAAAAAATCTAGTAGCATAAATCAATATATGACCAAAACACAAAAACTGACACGTCACTGATGAGGAAAGCAATTATTTAATAAACAAAGGTGTCGTAGTATGCAATTTTCCAAAGATACCTGTAGCTGTACGCCATATTGTAGAACAAGTTTTTTGCGTCATTTTTGGTTTTGCGCAGATCGGTGCGTCGGCTAGTTTTAAAATACCTACCTTTACCTGTTGTGATCAATTTCCCAGTATGTGATCCCGAGCCTGATAGCCATGGGATCCCATTCCCAGTGGGATCCCTTTCCCAATGGGATCCTGATGGATTCCCTGTGGGGTCCCGACCACATTTCCAGGTGGGATCCAGATTTCAGTTGGACCCTATTCCCGGTGGGATACCGAACCCAAAAGGATCCAGTTACCTGTGGGATCCTCATGTCATTGGGATTCCAAATGGGATCCCAATCCTGGTGCGATCCCATATAAAAAGGTGACTCAGTGAAACGGAGATAAATACCAGGAAAGTATAGAAAGGGATAGAACTAACCTAATATTTGAATAAGCTTGTAAAAATGACTTTTTTTTTGAAGCTGTTAAAATACTATTTTCCATAGTAATAGATAGTCTAGTGTGCTGCTTAATAAAAGACATTTGATTAATTATTATTTTTTAAACTAATGAAGCTAATCAAATAAAATTTGCCATAGTAACATATTGTGTCCTGCTGAAAACAAAAGACATTTTATTAATTATTAATTTTGCAGTTAAATAATTAACCTCCACATTAAAAAAAAATTTGATGAAAATCTACTTTTATCTATATTAATTGCTGTGCAATGCAACCTTATTCTTTTCATGAACAGAATTAAATGTTGCAAATTAAAAAAAAACTTTAAGTTCATTGAATTGTATATGAGGGAGTGGGGGCTGCACATTATTACAAGTGTCACATAGCCCAGTGGCATGCACAAAGAGTGCTTTGGCATGCCTAGGGGTTTACCGACCTAGGGGTTCTGTTTTCAATATTTATTGCCACCTTTATATATGTATTTTTGAAATGGAGAATCACAAGTTTAAAATTAAGCCCTAAAGAGCATTTGGTAAAAATGAGATTCTTGAGTGGGTGGGTGCATTTTATGAGGCCCGCAATGTCTCAAGGCATCATTTGTTACACATGGAACAATTTTAGCCCTTACTAGATAACACTTCTTAAATTAAATTATTTACATGTTGTACATTTATTATAAGCTTGGGTGGGTGGAGCAGCAGAATATGCACAAATTCTGAAATAATTATCCTGAAATTCCCAAGTCTATAAGTAGACCACCCACCAGGCATGCACACTCACACACACATCTTAAATCAACAAAGCCCTCTCCCCTCTCAGAGCACACGTTATAGACATTTTATATCTAAAGCTAAATGTACCCTAAAAATCTGTGAAATGCATGATTTCTAATTATTTTATAAGGCTATACTAGTAGTGATATCTTTAAGTACGCTGTTCACCTTTGTATGTTTCCGCGCATATGGGTAATTTGTGGCATAATTATTTTGTTAAGCTATGATAGCTGTTCCTAAACTATGTCAAATTCTAACAATTATATTTAAAAACAAAGAATATTTTTTAAAAATGTAAATGAAAATAAATAAAACACATGTAGGTCGCTAAGTGCCATCTAGTAACTATTTGTAAGAACCTGCAAGCAGTAATTACTTAATTACTTGGATGAGTAACTAGTTTGCACCAGGCTCGGAGGATGGTGGCATGAAATTTTGACTTTTTTTGCGTACATGCATGCAACATAGATGGCCCTTAAGAAACAGGTAAACATTTAGATGACATAGAAAAATACATATTACTTTGAATAAAAATTTGTTTTCTCAGGTAACTCTTCTTTTCTTTGCCAAAAGTAGAGAAATCATAGGACACAAGGAAGCAAGATTACACATACCAAGTGCAAGCACAGGAAGGCATATACTTAAATATATAGTTAAAGCCTACCCAGAGTAAGTTGGAAACTGAGAAATTGATTTTATTTGATTCAATCATGGGAGGGTTTTTCCCCTAGTGCACTGGCTGGCTCTGCTCTTGCAAGATCAACAAAAATATCTCTATTAATATAGTCAAACCTGGAAATTGCAAACCTTGAAATAGTGCCGTCACTGGTATATCGCCAACCCCCCTTCCTCTTACAAAGATCAAATTTTTAAACAAAAACCTCTTGCTTATCATGCTAAATACCCAAGGATATGAGTGGGATAAAACCTGGTTATCCCTGTGAATAAAAAATAAATTAAATGACAATGAAAATTTGAAAATTAAAAATTTCAATTATTTCCCCTTTTGATGTTGTCTATATTTTGAAAAATTCTATACTCTCTAATGTCAGGTAGTTCCATAGTCTGTAATGCCAAGTAGTTCTGTAGTCTCTAATGCCAAGTAGATTTATACTCTCTAATGCCAAGTAGTTCCATCGTCTGTAATGCTAAGTAGTTCCATAGTCTCTAATGCCAAGTAGTTCTAATTTATTTCTAGGCTGAACCTGATAGCCAACAACCTGGTCTTGTCCCTGAATGAGGAGTACCTGGAGTTGGACCGTCAAGTCACTCTACAGGAAAACGATGAAATAGCTGTCATACCCCCGATCAGTGGTGGTTGATGAGGAGTTGTCATACATCTTATCAGTGGTGGTTGATGAGGAGTTGTCATACATCTTATCAGTGGTGGTTGATGAGGAGTTGTCATACATCTTATCAGTGGTGGTTGATGAGGAGTGGTCATACATCTTGTCAGTGGTGGTTGAGAGGGAGTTAGTAGTCCTATCAGTGACAGTGGACAAGTCCAAATTTCAAGGTACTTATTTTTTAAGGCAGAATGATATGTGAGTTAATCATTTTGAATTGTATAATTTTCGGCTGTTCTTTTTAAACTGATCCATTTTGATAATCCCCTTTATACCTTTAACGATCATTATTTTAATCTTTTCATCCATCAGTTCTGTTTTGATGATGCATTCACATATTTTGATTATCGTGAAATATTCTTAATAGTTTTTGAATTACACAAAACAAATTCAGATTGTTAACATTGTTAATGCCATGTTTAGTTTCCTGGGTAACATTTGCATTTTAAGTAATGACCAGAGCCATCATGTGGACCATGCAAAAAATAATGACCAGAGCCGTCATGTGGACCATGCAACAAGTAATGATCACAACATTCATCTGGTCCATGCAACAAGTGATGATCACAACATTCATCTGGCCCAGCGGCCCATGCAATAAGTAATGATCACAACATTCATCTGGCCCATGCAACAAGTAATGATCACAACATTCATCTGGCCCATGCAACAAGTAATGATCACAATATTCATCTGGCCCATGCAACAAGTAATGATCACAACATTCATCTGGACCATGCAACAAGTAATGATCACAATATTCATCTGGCCCATGCAACAAGTAATGATCACAACATTCATCTGGCCCAGCGGCCCATGCAATAAGTAATGATCACAACATTCATCTGGCCCATGCAACAAGTAATGATCACAACATTCATCTGGCCCATGCAACAAGTAATGATCACAACATTTATCTGGCCCATGCAACAAGTAATGATCACAACATTCATCTGGCCCATGCAACAAGTAATGATCACAACATTCATCTGGCCCATGCAACAAGTAATGATCACAACATTCATCTGGCCCATGCAACACATGCAGCCGCACAGCCTTGAATATTTAAGGGACCCAAAGATGTGAAATGGAAAATTTTTTCAATCAAATTTTAGCGCTGGCGGCACAAACCCAAAAAGTAGGTAGCAGGGACCTCCGAAAGGCATGCTATGCCTCTGGCAATGCCAGAAACCTTTATCCGATATTTAGGACATTAGGTATCTCTTATTTTATAATGTTTGGCACTAAGGGCATTCAATAATGATATTTAATAACCTTTGGCTCAATGGGTATTTTCCCTTGCCAGCAAAAAACCCAATCTTTGATTCCATTGTTTCAATTCTCCACTATTTTATTGACAAGATGGATTTTGTCGATGTGGTTGAGGATAAACTGAAAGTAGAGGACATCACAAACATGGTGTCATCAGAAACTTGTGGAGCAATATCTATGTTTGTTGGTAAGAATAACTTTATCATTGTAGGCAAGAACATCTTTATGTATGTAGGAAAAAATAATTTTTGGCTTTCCAGATTGCAATACTATTTGTGATTACTATACTAGTCCTGATTGATTGATATACTAGTCTAGATTACTATACAAGTCCTGATTGCTATACTAGTCCTGTGAGCATAGCTTCAAGTTTTTCCCATTATTGATTCTGTGATATCAAATAGAGATTCAGCTGTAATCATTTTCTAATATAAGGAACAACCCGTGATAACTTTGATGGCAAGCGTGTTGTGAGGCTTGACTATGAAGCTTACATGCCTATGGCTAAAAGAAAAATGCTTGAAGTATGTGCAGCTATCAGAGAGAAGTGGGATATTCACAATATTGCAATCATTCATAGGATAGGGTAAGTCAAAAAAATAATACACTTTATTTATTTTGTCTGACTTTACACGAATGTTACATATGTTCTTTGTATACAATGTTATTTGTTCTACACATGTTCTTTGTTAGTTTTTACCTGATACCAGATCTCTGATGATAATGCTACTGTTTTAAAGTTAGAATTTAAAGTTTGTTTTGGCATAACAACAAAATATCTTTCTCATATTCCATCCTTACTAACTTTACCTACGCAGGCCTCACCGTATTATAGTAATTTTTTTAATTTCCCTCCTGTTTAATTGAATTAATTCATTATTTTTAATTGTTTTCATTTCCTATTAATCTCATACCACAATTTTATCCCTAATAAGTTCATGAAGTATGATGAAGATGATTCCACCTCATGGAAAATTTATCATATGACCAAAAAAGTTCCGTCTGGACTGCCCACGTCACTGAATAGCTGTTTTATTATTTTCTTTTACAATTTGTTAATAGTCAGCGGGCTGGGTGAAATTACCTTGTGGGCTGACTTTGGCCCACAGGCCAGACTTTGAATACCCCTGATATACAGGGTTAATGGGTACTATAAGGCTAGTATCGTAATAGCTATTAAATCTACAGGGTTGTTCCTGTGAAGGAGGCTAGTATAGTCATAGCCATTTCATCAGCTCATCGCCAAGAATCTTTGGAAGCTGTCCATTACGCCATTGATACTGTCAAGGCTACAGTGCCCATTTGGAAAAAGGTAACAAAACAATGTGTAATCTAGTGAAACCATCATAACCTTAAAATCTGGGTGATACCTTCACAGCCATAATATCTGGGTGCTACCATCACAACTATAATATCTGGGTTCAACCATCACAATCATAATATCTTGGTTCTACCATCACAAGCATAAAATCTGGGTGCTACCTTCACAACCACAATATCTGGGTGCTACGAGCTAAACCATTATATCTTGGTTCTACCATCACAACCATACTATCTGAGTGCTACCATCACAACCATACTATCTGAGTGCTACCATCACAACTATAAAATCTGGGTACTTCCATTTTGATTTCTTATAATGTTGACTTCATTTTTGTAAATTCTTGGACAACAATGATTATTTTGATATTCTTTATATTAACTTCACTTTTTTTTGTGTGGTTCTGGGTGGCCGAATCTTGGGACAGCTAACTGACCCTCTTCCGGTCAACTTATCAAGGTAACACTTGACACATAGATTCCTTGCAGATGACGACACAACAGTTGTTCAAATTTTCATCCCCACCCTCTAACTCCAGCCCCCTAAACTTGTTCAGCCCCACCCTCCAACTCCAGCCCCCTAAACTTGTTCAGCCCCACCCTCCAACTCCAGCCCCCTAAACTGGTTTAGCCCCACCTTCCAACTCCAGCCCCCTGAGCTTGTTTAACCCCACCTTCCAACTCCAGTCCCCTAAACTTGTTCAGCCCCACCTTCCAACTACAGCCCCTAAACTTGTTTAGCCCCACCCTCCAACTCCAGCCCCCTAAACTTGTTTAGCCCCACCTTCCAACTCCAGCCCCCTAAACTTGTTCAGCCCCACCCTCCAACTCCAGCCCCCTAAACTTGTTCAGCCCCACCCTCCAACTCCAGCCCCCTAAACTTGTTCAGCCCCACCCTCCAACTCCAGCCCCCTAAACTTGTTCAGCCCCACCCTCCAACTCCAGCCCCCTAAACTTGTTCAGCCCCACCCTCCAACTCCAGCCCCCTAAACTTGTTCAGCCCCACCCTCCAACTCCAGCCCCCTAAACTTGTTCAGCCCCACCCTCCAACTCCAGCCCCCTAAACTTGTTCAGCCCCACCCTCCAACTCCAGCCCCCTAAACTTGTTCAGCCCCACCCTCCAACTCCAGCCCCCTAAACTTGTTCAGCCCCACCCTCCAACTCCAGCCCCCTAAACTGGTTTAGCCNCAGGGGTGCCACTTTTCCGGGTTATCCCGGAATTCCGGATTCGTGAGGCTAAATATTTTTCAGTTCCGGATTCGCGAGTTTTTATATTCTCTATTTCCGGATTCGCCAGTTCAATTTATTCAAATACGGATTCTGTCTGTTTTTTTTTTAAAGAATCAACGTGGAATTCGCGAAAAACCAGGAAAATTCATTGAAAATGGACGTTAATCGCCGAACTCGTCTATTTTTAGCCTTTCTGTTGACAGAGAGCTAGTTGTTTCCCCTTGCGCATGCGCTTTACACTACGCGTTTCGAGTACTGTACTACTTGAAACTACTTCAATAGACCAGAAATATTTATTTTCTGTTCACGTCGCCGATCAAGAGATATTTGAAGTGTTTGGGTAAGCAAAGTGTAAAATTTAGTAAATATCTTTTTAATTTTAGTTTTTAATTGTTGGGTAACCATTATCATAAAAAGAAAACTACTCGTCCGAGCGCTGTCTAACAAGACTAAGCTTAGCGTACTTTGTTATGTAGCTTTTACTGTATGCAGGCGACTTGTATTTTTTTTTTAGGCTGCATCTATAGGTACCCGGGTACCTATGGTCGCCAATAACAATTCGCACCCGGAGTGGCTCCGTACATATTAAATGGCTTCGAAGCCGAATGTGATAACAATAATATTATGAGAATTATTTTTTGAAATTGTTTTTCTCCTTGTTTATTTGATTGATTCATAGTTTTATTATTTTTAGTTGTTTTTTTTATTTTTGCTTTGTTAATTTCTCTTAGTACGGGTAGATTTTTTTCTTTCTTATTTTCTTTTTTTTAGTTTAAGCCATTTTCGGAGATCAATTATTATTTTTTTTAAATCTAGTAATGAAGATGATTTAGATACATTTATTGTTTTTATTTGAATTTTAGAAAAGTAATAATATTAATTTAATTATTAAAATTAAATCCTTTATTTAAGATTATTTATGTGTATTGTTTAAGTTAAAAGATTTAATCACACAGTACTTTATGAATTAATTACGTATTCTAAATAATGAAAATTTCATTCATAATGAATTTATTTCAACTATTCCTCTAAAGAGCTTGGCTTAGTCAGAGCAAAACTACCAATTTTAAACCTGTTCCTTGGCACTGGGAGTCATACATGCGGACACTTACTGTCATTCCTGATATCTTGAATCTCCTTTCAACAACCTTTCTCATTTGACTTGACCTAATTCACAAGGTAGTTGCAATGAACATCTTAAAGTTAAAGGATGCCATTGTATAAAGTATGAGGAGAC